TGAAGAGGATGTGGAGTGTAATGTGTAATAGGTTGGATGAGGGTCAGCTTCTGGAGCCAGCAGTCATGATCTCTAAAATAGAAAAAACAAAGAGAATCAGAAATTAAATCTTTGCAAAATAATACAAGTATGGCAGACATGAAAATTGTTTTAGTTGATATCCATGCGAGGCATCTTAATAAGGGCATGGGCGGCTGTAAATGGAAGCGCTTTTGTTAATGCATGGTCCGATAGCTTCAATGCTACAATGTGCAAGGATGGTAGGGGTGGGTGTTCATCTCCCCATGGGATGACAGATGGATGGAGAGCTGAGGATATAGGATGTGGCTTGTCTGGTGGTCCTGGAAAACTGGTACCTCTTGAAGATTGAGCATGTGAAGTGAAAGTGGTTTAAATTTCTATTTATAACAGTCAAGTGGGAAGTTTGTTTCTTTGCCGTTTTTGCATCCGACTGACTTGCTATATAATCTTACATGACGCTTTGTATATCAACACATGAGTCACTGGCGTATTACAATTGGACTTTTGTGCTTGATGGCATAATGTTTTTCAATAGCTTGCCAATATTTGCTGGTTGGGTATTAATTTTTTTACAAATTTTTTTAAATATTTTTTTTTTATCTTAACTAAATTCACAAGCGTGTCTGGCCTATTCATTCAGGTCTTTGCAAACAGAGTCAAGAGAGAGGGCGGGACCATCCCCAGTCTTTTAGCTCATTGGATGGTGATGCTTCTCTTTACAGCTATTGGCTTAAGGAGTTTCAGTCAAGCCATGCAAAAGGTGCAAAAAGCCTGGCGGCCATATTGTTGATCAAATTCAACATTGTTTGTGGCTGGAGCTGCTGCTCTGCTGAACACATTCCAGCAAACAATCTGTTAAACGATGGATCGCATGTGTACTGCTAGGAGAAGGTAAAGGTTCAGTTTTTGCAATAGCTTTGGAGTTTTGGCTGATATCTTGCTGGGAAATGAGGTTGAAGACACAGCAGATGCGTTGTGGAGGCTCTTTGAAGTGGAAGGTTTTGGTGTTGTTGTTTAAGCTGTTGATGAAATTGTTGGAGTTGTAGTTGTTTGAAATGGTAGTAATTGTAGTTGTTGTTGTTCCTGTAGCTTGTAGATTGTAGCTTGAAGATTAAAGCTTGTAGATTGAAGCTTTTGTAACTTGTAGCTTTTGTAGCTTGTAGCTTTTGTAGCTTGTAGCTTTTGCAGCGTTTATATCATTTGTAGTTTTTGTAGCTTTTGTAGTTGATGAGCGGAGCAGAGCGTTCTTCCAAACGAAGATCCTGAAGATTGTAGCTTGTTGCTGCTTTGGTTGTCCATGCTGGTTTAGAGTTGGTTCTTCAACGGAGCTAGCTATGGTGAAGCTGCTTCTTCCAAACAAAGATAAAGTGAACTAAAAACTGAGGCTATTTATAGTAGCTTAGGGCTCATATGATTGGAAGATAGTGATTAGCAAATGCGAGACTGGCCGTGATAAATCATAAGCACGTGATCCTCTCGAAATTAGTTTATGAATAAACTTCACTTATCATAAAACATAGCTTAGTGTTTGTTTTCTGATAGCAAGCCAGCAAATAGACAATAATATATATATATATATATACAGTAAATTCCATTTTTACTGTTGATATTTGGTGCCCAGTTAATCAGGAAGTGGCGATTTTGTTCTCTTTGACTCATTGGATGGAAACGCTGCTTTATTTGCACACATCTTTTATGCGATATTACAGTTTTGCACAAAAAATTAATTAATATTATTGGATGGAAACACAGCTAATGCCTACATTACGTTTTGTTGTGTTCACACCAGACACTGAGCTGAGACTGAGCTGAGCCCCTATAATGTACCTAAAAGAGCAAGCTGTAATTCCCAATCCTGTAGGTGACTATTGTTCTCCTAAATCCACTGTTCAGATGTTGTTGTCAGGTTTTTGTCCTTAAACTGCTCTGGATGTGATATGTGAACAGCCTACCAGATGTCCCAAGTCTCCTAAAAACTCAAAAGCTGCATTTACACTGTAGATTTTGATGGTCAATTCAGATTTTGTGACCATATCTGATTTTTTTGATGAGCTGCTTACATCATCTTTTAAAAGTGACTCGTATCTGATCGTCTGCATTTAAAGAGCACACGGCAAAGGCGCAATGACCAGGAAAAAAATGTGCGGACACTGAGTAACAGCTGATAATTAAAGAGGTTTCTTTTTTCTATTCCTGTATGTAATCTGTTTGCAGCTTTTGACAAGCTGTTTTACTGTAGTTTATGACAGAAAGGTTCTCATTTGTCCATCTTCTTTTGATATATACGCTTTTTAAAACCTTTAGGCATCTTAATGTAATGTCCAATGGTGTGAGTCATGCACGTGATGTATGCACTAGGTTTACATTAGTTTATATTGGTTACGTGGTGGACATTGCGCTCTCTTGCTCTCGTTAACATCCCAGGTAGCAAAGAATTCTGGCCCAGATTTGGCATAAAGCTGGCACAGCAGGCATTCGTTTGGCACTGGCATGCAACATATGGACCAAACATGGCTCAGGTTTGGCTGAGGTGGCACCGTCTTACAGGCGGCACTCAATACTTGGGCCAGATCTCAAATGTAGTATTTGGCCCAGATGTTTAAATGTACATGTGGGACACATAAGTTTGGCCTAGCTTGACCCACTTTTAAAATACATTTATATTATTTTTGAGCAAAGAAAAAATTCTATCAATCAGGTCGCTTCAAGAAAAAGCCCAGCCATAAAGCGAAATTCTTCATGGGTTTATAAAAAACATTGCAGTCGTAACACACCAACATATCGCGCCCAGTTCAGGCCCAGTTGTGGGTTATTAATTTGGCTGAGACTTGGCCCACATATGGTCCATGTTTGCCGCTTCTATGAAAGCCAGAATTGGTCCAGTCATGTACCGTAATTCACTGCGGCATGTGGGCCAAGCAAATGCTGATGGTGTGGGCCAGATCTGGGCCAGAGAAATTTTGCTATGGTTGATGCTTAAATACCTGTGCTATATGACAATATAAAAGCTGTTTTAGTCCTCGTGTATGAGATTTAAGGTTTGGGACTCTGCTGAAGTCTGTTCTAAAATGAAAGCGTCAGATTGACATCATTCGCTATGGTTTTTAATGACGCTCGACTCGCATTTACAGGTGAAAATCCGATCTACCTGCTTACACTGCAAACACGAGAACAAAAATCCCATTCATATCAGATGAATTTCCACATATGAACAAGGCCTGAATCTGATTGGAGTAAATCGGAATCCATGTGATTTGTTCCTGCTTACATGTACATGTGCCATATCCCATCTGTGCCACATGACTGGAGAAAAACATTGGAATTGAGTCACTTGAACAGCACAGTGTAAATGCAGCCAAAGAGTCTCCTGCACATTGGGATGTTTGCTCAACACATCTCATCCAAAACCTTCTGTTTTATTTTGATGTGAATTTTAACTGTTGTAGCTGTCAATAACTCATTGATTTGTGTAGTCAGTGTAGTGATATGTTCAATCATCAGAAAACTAGGTTACTCAGTAGCATAAAGACATCTCACCCACTTATAGTTAAGTTAAAAATGTTTTCTGCCATTGAACAAAAAATCTGCTCAGTTTGTTCAAATATTTTTGACAACTGAAGTATGGTTTTGTTGCATTTTTGTTTCAGAGTACATCATGATGTGTGTGAGAGATCTTTGGGCACTCACAAGAGCTGCAGAGCTTATTAATAATCATGATTATTTCAAATATGGTTAAATCCAATAATGTCTTTTTTGGGCCAATTCTTATGGTTGGAATAAAACATTGATATAAAAAAACTATATATTATGTTGTATCAATGCATTATATGGCATCTTTAACATTACATGAAAGAGCAGTACAATGTAAACATTCCAGAAAACAATTTTTAAAAATTCCTTAAATGCAACTCTCATGCACTCTAAATGGAAATAAAATATTTCAGAATAATATTTTGAGATGTGTTGCTGAAATGCTTTAGTTTCTGCTCAACAAAGTTCATAATTAATTCATTGCATTATTCATTGGATTGAACACAAAAAATGTGTATTGTATGTATTAGCTGTTAGCACACTGATTTGGGTTTGCACGTGAATAGTTTTGTATCTGACAGTGATGACCCATATTGTTTTCAAGGTCTTTCAATTGTTTTTCAGCCGTGTAGATTGTGTTGGCTCAGTAACTCACTCAATAGTCATTTTGTTAAAGTACGAGATAATATCTAGCACTGTTTCAGTGAACAATGCTCATTTAGACAGTAACAGTAACAGTAATATAATATTTATTATAATAAATATAATATTTTAATAGAAATAATTAACTTTTTTATATTTTGCATTTAGTTTTTTCATTCATTCATTTTCTTGTCGGCTTAGTCCCTTTATTAATCCAGGGTCGCCACAGCGGAATGAACCGCCAACTTATCAAGCAAGTTTTTGCGCAGCAGATACCCTTCCAGCTGCAACCCATCTCTGGGAAACATACACACAAACATTCACACACACACACTCATACACTATAGACAATTTAGCTTACCCAATTCACCTGTACCACATGTCTTTGGACTGTGGGGAAAACCGGAGCACCAGGAGGAAACCCACGCGAACACAGGAAAAACATGCAAACTCCACACAGAAACACCAACTGAGCCAAGGTTCGAACCAGTGACCCAGCAACCTTCTTGCTGTGAGGCAACAGCACTACCTACTGCGACACTGCCTCATCTTTACATTAAGTTTTTAAAATTTCTAAATGCTTTTAAAATATATTAACACCAAAGATTCCACAAACCAAATCCTACAGAAGCAGAGCATTTATTTGGTTTTACGGCTGATACAGACAGACTAATGAACAGGAAATGTTATTTAAAATGGATGTGCTTACATTTTTCTTTTCTTTTTTTAATGTTAATGTACATTAAGAAACAACATAGTAAAGAAGACTTGAAACTCATTAATTGTTGACCTGTCTATAATTTTAGGTGCTGATTGTTCAGAAGATCATGAGTGCCTAAGGATTGTGCTGATTGGGAGAACAGGAAATGGAAAGAGCGCAACAGGAAACACTATTCTGGGAAGAAATGAGTTTCTCAGCCAATTAAGCATGGATTCAGTGACGACTGTTTGTGAGAAAGGAGTTGGAGAAGTTGATGGTCGATCAGTAGCTGTTGTTGATACTCCAGGACTCTTCGACACAACACTGACAAATGATCAAGTGGTGGAAGAAATAGTGAAGTGTGTTTCACTGTCAGCTCCTGGACCTCATGTGTTTATCATTGTGGTGAGTTTAGGAAGAATAACTAAAGAGGAGGCAGACACTATAGATCTGATTAAGAAGATATTTGGTCCAAAATCTGCTCAGTTCAGCATCGTTCTGTTCACCAGAGGAGATGATCTTAAAGATCAATCTATAGAGGATTATGTGAAGAGAAGCAAATCTGCAGAACTCCAGAAACTGATCAGAGATTGTGGGAACAGATTCCTGGTGTTCAATAACAGAGAAAAACAAGACAAAACTCAAGTGATGAAGCTGTTAAAGATGATAGAAGAAGTGAAGAGTAATAATCAGGGTGTATACTTCACTAACAGCATGTTTGAGGAGGCAGAGATGTCCATTAAGAAGAAGATGGAGGAAATACTGAAAGAGAGAGAAAGAGAGATTCAGAAACAGAGAGAAGAGTTACAAGCCAAACATAAGATGGAGATGAAGAGACTCGAGAAAGAGAAACAAAGAGCAGAAGAGGAGAGAAGGAAAATGGAGAATCAGCTAAAAGAAAAAGAGGAAAAAGTCAGAAAAGAGTTTAAAGAGAAGGAGAAAGCAGATCAGAAGAAACGAGAGATTGAAAACCAGAAACGGTTAGAAGAGGAAAAACAGCAGAGAGCTGAATATGATCAGAGAATAGAAGAAATGAAGAGAGAGATGGACAATCAGAGATCACAGTATGAACAACAGCAGAAAGAAAGAGAAGAAGACAGAAAGAGAGAAGAGAAATACAGACAAGACCAAGACAAGATGAGAAATGAACAAGAGGGAATTATAGAAGAATTAAAGATGAGACATGAAGAAGAAACAAAACTGAGAGATTTAGAGAAGAAAAGAAGAAACGAAGAAGAAGAGGAGGAAAGACAGAGATGGAAAAGAAAAATAAAAGAAGCTGAAAATGACAGAAAAGAGATTCAAGAGGAAATTAAACAACAGCAGAGAGAATGGGAGGATGAGATGAAGAGAAGGTTGAGAGAACGAGAGGAAGAAGAAAGAAAAAGAAAAGAGAAGCGCGAAGAACAACTGAGAGAAAAACAAGCAGAACTGGAGAAAATGAGAAAGAGATTTGAAAGAGAAAGAGAAGAAGAACGACAGAAGATGGAGGAGGAGAGACTAAAACAGAGAAGAGAAAGAGAAGAAAAGGAGAGAGAATATGAGGAAAAGAGACAGGAGACAAACAGATATTATGAGGAGCTGGAGAGAGAGAGAAAAGAGGAGTGGGAGAGAAGAAAACGAGAAGATGAAGAGAGACGAGAAGAAGAGAGAAAGAGATGGACGAGAATGATTGAAGATCTGAAACGAGAGCAAGAAGAGGAGATCAGGAGAAGAGAAGCAGAAGAGCAGAAGGAGAGAAAACTCAGGGAAGAGAAAGAGAGAGAAAAACTGAAAAAACAATCTGAAGTGGAAATGAAAGAGATGAAGAAGAAATATGAAGACGAAGCCAGAAAACAAGCAGAAGAGATTGAGTTGACAGAAAAAAAACTGAAACAAACTCTGGAGTATGAACTCAAGCTTAAAGAACAGGTGAAAGAACAGGAATCACTGAAACGACAATATAAACACCTCCAACAAGAGAAAGAGGATGACATAAAAAAACTACAACAAGAAGTTGAAAAACTGAAAAAGGAAAAAAGTGATTGTGTGATTTCGTAAGCATGAATATGAATACAAGCAATATTATTCATTGTTTCTCCAGTCATATTGAGGTGATAGAAACACAATAAGTCACTTTTTAAAAATTTCGTTAAAATAGGACCCAAATCCCTCCCGTTCTGAGGTCCACCACAACGTGATGTAAGAGTGTTGTTTCCTCAGCCACCAAATTGATTGACAGCCGAGTATTACCATGCCTCCATAGTAATGGGTATAATCATATCAACAAGACAGGACATGCTTAAAGCAACTGGGATTAAATGATCTGTTCAGCGCTCTGTGATCATCTGCAGCTCGAGAATGAGTTTTACAAGTTTAACATGTTTATAAATCACTGCATGTTTGGAATAAATACAGTAAAATTACTGTAATTAATCACCACAGCCGCACGTCAGTACAATTATTAAAGAAGATGCTTTAAGATAATCCCAGTGTGTGGACTGTAAGAGTTGAGATACCACAGATACTTTGATGTCTTTGACAATACAAGCATGGGCTGGAAACACAGAGAAAATTGTGTCTACACCCGACCAGGTGGGAATGTGGGAAAGTTCACTCCTCTCCTTTCCTTTATTTACATTTGGAGCATCTCCCGCACTCCCTTTTGTTCACTCACCCTCCTCTTCATCAGACTCACACAGAATGGTCTGTATTTTCTGTGTCAGGTCAGTAGACGAACTAAAGTCCAGTTGAGGTGGAGTATCGGGCACACTAACTGTATTTTAGGTATCTATACTGACTCTTGATATTGATTCAAGTGTACTTAGGTGGAAAAGGGGTTAGTTCTGTCCAGGGAAACAGACGGAATAGAATGCCTGAGCCTTGTTTAAAAGTAATGTTCTAAATTAAGTGTACATGGGAAACTATGAACTTGGCTAAACCGAAATCATTATAGAGAACAGCAATCGGTTACATTTATAATAAATAATAATGGCCCTAACCTCTGATTGAAAATGACATTGTCTTTACTCAAGGGTGTACATCTAAGGAAGACTAATCAAAAATACTTTTTAGTATTATAATTTAGAATGAGCAAGCATGGGAGCGGCCATCTAAAAGCATTAGTCAATTTCCTCTGTTTAATATTTAAGACTTACGAGAGTGTGACTTTGAGGGACGCCATCGGCCGAGGCATCATGTCTGTCACTGGACTGTTTATCTACATGAGTGTAAGGTGTTTCCTGTCCTGTACTTTATTTTGTTCTGTGTTCCTGCCATTTGATGCCTAGTGTTTGTGTGTCATGCTCCTATTGGTCAACTTCTTAGTTGTTTTATGGCGGTCGGCAACCAATGTTTAGGTGCTTTGCCACCACCTACTATACTGGAGTGTGAGCCTGAGTTAACTCCCTCCCAAACAAAGGGGAAAAAAAATTATTAACATGTAAAACTAAACATTTATTCTTTTAAATTCTGTTAATTAATCCTGCTTTTCTTAGATAGTTCACTAAACTTTCATTGTTATATCCCCCAAGTATAATTTTTATGCTGATTTTGGAAGAGTTTTGTTTTTATAATTTCTTTCTTTAATATTTCTCTTTCTGTTATGAATTTCTTACAGTGACATAGAACATGTTAGACAGTTATCCCTCAATCCAGTTGGATGTTTCCCTATTGAATTTAATGTTTTATTGAAACCTGTGTGTCCCATTCCCAACCGTGTTATTATGCCTTCTATTTTATTATTTCCCATATCCTCCAATTTCCTATTTTCTCTTGTGTTATATAGTAATATCTACACATTATATCCCTATGCCAATTATATTGCCATTGTTTTAATATGTCCTTCTTGACTATAACTTTTGCTTCTGTTTTGCTTGACAAGATATTTATACTTTCGTCTAGTTTGCATGCTTCTTTAGCTAAAACATCTGCAGTTTAATTTCCTTTAATTCCTATGTGTGCTGGAATCCACATAAATACTATTATAGCATTTGCTCTCTGAAGTCTAAATAAAATTTCATATATTTCATATATGCAATCCTGTCTGTTCTTTGATGCTATTGACTTAATTGAACTCAATGCTGAACTGTAGTCTGAACATATAAACTCTTTATGCCACTATCCTCTGCCCAGTACAGATCAGCAATTATAGCCATCAGCTCTACTGTATATATTGTTAGGTGCTCTGTTGTTCTTTTCTTAACTGATATGCCTAATTGTAGTACAAAAACATCAAACCCTGTTTTGCCTGAATCCAAACTCATTGACCCATCTGTGTACACTTCAGTATATTCTTTATATTTTGTCATAATTCTGTCTTCAATTATTCCTGACATATTAGTGATGTTTCTAAAGTCCTGACTATTGTCCAGTAAATGCAAATTAAACTAAGCCTAAAGGATATAACAATGGGGGTGATGTTGCTATTGGTACTGTTTTGTTAAAACCCTTATCAATCAACTCCATCTCTTTAGCTATTTCCATACTTTCCCTTCCAAAAAAGAAGGTTTTGTTTTTTTCCATATTCCCAACTTGGAACAAGAACTTGCATTGCTTGATTTCTTTTTACTTCCTGACCTTGTAGATTTATCCAATAACTCATCATGATTTGTTTCCTTCTTAGCTTCAAAGGTATTTCACCCATTTCTACATGAAGTGTTGAAATTGGCAATAGTATCTGGATGCAGCCTTTATGATGCAGGCTGAGATTGCATCACTCAGCGATGCAATCTCAGACACAATGCACTCAATGGAGTGAGTGACATCATTGTGATGGGTAGGGTTAGGGGCGGGGTTAGGTGAGCGCATTAAAAGGCATTGGATGCAGCTCAGACTGCACTGCACCAGGTCTGCATCCAGACCCCACTCGAAATTGGAGTAGTTTTATAAGCTCCACAACATTCTCTTAATGCCTGGGCTTGAATAACTTCTATTTTTTTGCAGACTAGACTTAGAAGCTCTTCCATATATGAAACATAGTCTTAAACTGATCGATCCAATGCTACATAAATGTTTCCTTATCCATTTCTACTAGCTCTTAATAATATAACTTTTTTTTTTGCAATTATTAACTAGCTGGTTAATATAACCATTCCAAGTAAATCTTGTATCAAGCCACATCCCCAAAAATGTAAATGACTTTACCTGCTCCAGCTTCTGGTAAAAAAGAAACGCTTCAAGAACAAAATTTTAGAAATATAGAGAACGGACAATGCTTTTTAATGGCCTCACCTGACCCTACCCCTCACCCTACCTATCACAGTGACACCACTCACTCCATCGAGTGCATTGTGTCTGTAAGAGAGGCGGGACTTGACATACCTGTCTATCATCCTCATGACGCAGCACAAAGCAGAGTTATGCAGAGAAGCGCCCGCAGCTATGGGGAATGGCCTCATCCTATGTGCCTTTGTGTGTTATTGTGTGCGTCTATAACGAACTGTGAGTACACATTCTGATCTAAAGGACAGTCGTTCTCATTTCAGTATCTAATGATCGAGTGATTTGGGTTAAGCTCATCCAGCGCGTTCGGTGCATTCACGTGCTCTCGCACGAGTTTATGATCATACCCAGCCGGCACACGACCGACCTTCAACGTTGAAATATGGTTGAAATAAGGTCAGATGTGTTTTGAACGTTGAAATAATGTTGATAGAACATTTAATGTTGAACGGTTGAAAAACAGCCTGCATATGACAAGGCTTCAACGTTGAAATGTGGTTGAAAATACGTCAGTTGTTGCTTTAATGTTGAAACAATGTTGAATGATAAATGGTTGAAAAAAGTTACAGAAATCCTTGTACAAATCAACGTTGACATTTTTTATCATGATCTGTATGTTGAATTAACGTCATGGCTTCACCCAATATTCAACATGTTTGGTTACCATGGTATCGGAGGACTCGGCGCACGCGGCCACGCGCAGCGCTTCACTTCACTTAATTACGAACACCTGACCTGCAGTGCAGCAGAATTCAGAGGTAAGCGTGTTTTTAGATGCTTTAATGTTTTATTTACCCCCGATTTTGTTTTACACACAGTGTATCTTAAATGTGACTTAGTGTAGTGTTTCGAATTTTGAAGCATTTAAAACTTTCCAGTTTGGTTTTGCGCTCCGGTGACCGAGCTAACCTCGAGGTAATGTCACATGTTTAACGTTAGTCTAAATGAGCGTTTTTATGGCAAATTCAAAGCGATAAACTCCAAACGCAGTTTAAAGTTACTGAGCAACGTTATAAAACAATATCATTTTTATACGCTGTATCATTAGTGTTATTATTACAAAGTGAACTGCTTTCGTTTCACTGTTGTTGTTGTTTTTGCTTTTAGACATGTAACTTAACGTACTCCAGAAATGCACTAACTTGCACAGCATTGAATGGAAAAGGCTTTGTCCATGTAAGTTTACTTTACCTTTAACTAAGCTAGCCTATCTGTTAAATCTTCTTGGTGCTTTGGTTGGTGATATTCTCTTTCTAATCTGTTTGTTTATTGATTGTTAGGCTATGTTGTGATATTATATTGTTATATTGATATTATTTTTGTGAAATCATGTTGTGATGTTACTATGTGACAGTATTGGGGAACAAATATGTATTTAGTGAGAAATTAATGTTTAAATTACACTTTGAATAGTAGCAAATAAGAGGTGTAATGGGTTTTAACTTTCTGGGTTTTCTGGAAGGTCCAGTTGAGGGCATCAAGAACATGCAGATAGCCTAACTTAAACCTGTGTCAGCCTGGACAGACTGCAGTTCTGCTACTCCACGCCAAGGCTTTTGTATGGATGTCTGACTACTACTGTGTTCTCTAAAGGTATTACTGGAGCAAAACAACAGCACCCGTTACAGTGAAATTTGTATTCATAAAAATAGTGATACATGTGTAGCAGGTCCAGTACATGTGATGTCAGTGAGAAGTTGTTTTTATTAAATGTCATTAAAACAAATAAATAAACATGCTATTTAAATAAATCTAAATATTAAAAACTTGAGGATTAAGATGAGAAATTAAATGCATCATCTGTCTTGCGAAAAGGGTCTACTTAAGAATTCTGGTGTTTCCCAACTGAAAGGGATAGTTCACTCAAGAATGAAAATTTACTCACATTTTACTCCCCAAATGGTTTAAAACCATTATGAGTTTATTTTGTTGAACACAAAAGAGGCTATTCTGAAAAAAAACTAAAAACCTGTAAACATTGACCTCCATAGTCGAAAAAAATACTATAGAATTCAATGGTTATAGATTTGCAGCTTTCTTCAAAATATCTTCTTTTGTGTTCAACGTGGTCAGTAAATGACGACAGAATACAAATTTTAAACTATCGCTTTAATTTTCTGTCCTACATGCAGAGTTTTGCAGAAGTGCTACTCCTCTACTCCTAGAGTTTTTCTCAACCATGTCTAAAAAGCTTTAAACAGCTTTTACAGTACATGTAATGGTTCACAACAACTTGTAATTATTATATGTGTTGAATGTTTCATGGTTCTTTACTGCAGCCTTTGTTAAAAAAAAAAAAAAAAAAGAAATTTTTTCGAGAATCTGAAATTTGAATTCTGGAAATGCTGGCACCGGTGGTGGCGAAGGGCTTCCTGACGATATCACACCTAATTCTTCACTTCTCTTAGTTAGGAATATTCAGATGTATGAGTCAAAATTATTGAGTGTGGCGATTATTATAAGACAAATTTGGATTCAATAAAAAATAAATATTTGAATTTCACTTTGTATAATAGCAGATACCAACTTAGTTGTAACCTCGTATTTCATTTATTGCAGGTTTTCTGGAAGCTCCATTTGAGGGCATCAAGGACATACTGATGGCCTAAACCAGTGTCAGCCTAGACAGACGGGCATCTATTGCAGTTCTGCTACACAAGACCAAACTCTCTGCTTTTGTATGGATGTCTGACTAGTACGGTGTTCTCTAAAGGTATAACTGGAGCAAAACAACAGCACCCGTTACAGTGAAATTTGTGTTCATAAAAGATAGTGATATATGTGTAACAGGTCCAGTACATTTGTCATAAAGGTTAAATCACAGTAAGTACTGTAAAAATAACTTGTTTGCCTTTGCCACAACAGGTCATGGTGTGTGCATACTGCTCGTAGTAAACACACATGCTGATCTGATGCGGGAGAGATATATGCAAACATATTTGTATTTACTGTTTTGTTTTGCCTCACTAAAGTGTTGTTGGAGCTTGATATGTTCACAGTTGAAATCACTGAAGTCACATGGAACGTTTTGACATTGTGTTTTGTGCCTTATCTTGACGATGACCATCTTGGGACCATTGCTGTCTGTAGAGGATGAGGAGCATTTCATCTAAAATATTTTAGTTTGTGCTCTGAAGATTAACAGGTCTCTGGGATGACACAAGTAATTAATAACAGAACCTATATGAACACTTAATGTGACATGTAATAGTGAAATAGTGGTCCTACATTCACAAATGTGAGCCATTATTATAAGACCCCTGTGAACATGCAATTTTTATGATACTAATAATAATGGAATAACAAATTGCTATTACTGTTGTGTTTGTGAGAGAGAATCAAACCATATATTCTACACATTTTCTTGATGATTTACTGAAATATTTGTCTACATGTTCCACTGTCACAGGTGCTCAGTTTTGCTGCAGTAATGCTAAACACAATAGATGTACTTTATGCAAAAAAAAAAAAAAAACTACTAAATATTTAGCATGCAGACCTGCAAATTGAAGGAGTAATGTCAGGTTTAGATTATAGCATGAGTTTTCACTATTGTGAAAGTGAAGCCATTCATTCACAATGAATTGGAATAGCAAACCTCATTATTGATTTTGTAGGAAACTCACCTGGTGTTTGAGAAATAAATATGTATTTAACTGCTAGACTGATATAGATGTTTAAGTGTTTTACACTTGATTCTTTGTCCCCAGTGCCATCTTTTACCTCAAGTGTTTCTCTCAACCTATAAAACCTCAAACAGATGTAATGTATTTCACTTGTGATTCTTAGTTGTGAGTGATGTTTTTTATTTATTTTTTTACTGCAGCCACTTTAAAAATGGGTATTTTGTAAACTTTGTAAACAGAATTGTATTTTAGAGACTGTGATGGTTGAAGCGTAGTTTAGTTACTTAGTTTAATTTAGTTAGTATCTGTCTTTCTGAAGATGGTAACACTTTACAAAAAGGTTGTATTAGTAAGTGTTAATGTATTTACTAACATGAACAGAACAATGAAGTATCTTTCATATAAAGAAAGTACAGTTCATGTCAGCTCAGTGCATTAATGTTAACAAGCATACATTTTGATTTTAATAGCATCGGGACATATTTCAATTAATTAAATGATTAATAAATGCTGTACAAGTATTTGTTCTTTGTTCATGTTAGTAAACATTAACTAACTTTAATTCATGAAACCTAATTAAAAAGTGACTCTTTAATTGTATGCCTTTTTTCTGTATTTGAGTGTACAGCATGTATAGTAACCTGCATGGTTTTAATGAACTATGTATGCTGTAAATGTTGCTGTATATTTAGAATAAATGAAATAATGAGGTGTGTATTAAATAAATTGATACACAGGCTAAGTTGTGTATTTTTGTCGTGTATTTTTATTAGTAACAATTTGTTTGCTATATTTATGGACTTTGCGTTGTATGTAATTTCTATTTAACTTGCGTTGAAATGTATGACGGTGAAACAACGTCACGGTATCAACGTTGATCCAATTTGCAAAATCGAAAGGTAATTCAACCTTCATTCAACGTCTACAAAACGACCACAATTCACCCATGAAGAAGGTAAGAGTGAAACAACGTTGTGATTTCAACGGTGAATCACCGGTGGTGGTCCGACGGTGAAACAACGTCACTATATAAACGTTGATCCAATTTGCAAAATCGAAAGGTAATTCAACGTTGATCCAACCATAGACTTGACGTTGATTCAACGTTGAATCACTGTTGAAATGCCGGCTGGGTAAGATCGCTAATTATATGTAAATCATGTCCTATACATGCCCTGTTTATGTCATCATGCTATTACAATGGGAATTACTCATGACAAGTGTTTTAAGAAGTAATTTTTTCTGGGCTTATTGCCAGTTTTGAGTACTTTCGGTTTTGACATCCTGATTGTATTGCATAGCGAAAGTGAAACCATTACATCACGTTTACTGCTCGGCTCAATGAAGCGTTGTACTTGACGCATATATCATAATATTGTACTGCGATTATATATGGTTATTGTTATTTTTGATCTAGAAGTCCAATTATGTTATACTGATTATTTTATTATTTTTTATTTCCTTTAAGAAGCACACACGCCTATACACACACCTCTTCAGTGTTCAATAAACCAGTTTGATTGACCTTAACTGCCTGATCCACTCCTGTGTTCTGATCCACATCACAAGGGGAAGTGTTAGAGAAATTAGAACCTCCTCAGAATACAATCCTAACCTAACAACCCAACAGTGTCTGACATTGCGCCGCTGAGTAATGCAATCGCAGCATGCATCATAAAGGCTGCATCCAGATACTATTGGAAATGTGTGATGGTTTAAAAAAACACAACTACAGCAAAACTACAACTAACTACAGCAGGATGCAAAAAGATGCTTTAAAACGTGTTGACGCTGTAAAACATTTAGATTTTAACAAAATGCACTAGAAGCTCTTTTTATATGCTAAAAGTGAGAATATACAATCAGTACATTATAAAGAAAACAGAAAAAAGAAAAAAATTACAAAAAGAAGAGCAAAAAACAAAAACAAAAAAAAAACAAACAGAAGGGGTATATACATCACACATTAAAGAAAAAGATCATATATTTTACACATTTTAGTTGCAACATTATCTCATGGCAATTCGTAACTTTTTGACTTGGTGGCTAATTGGTATGAATTCATAGGATCTAATTCGTACAGTTTAGTACGATTTGTTCATCACCCAATAAGGGTTGGGGTTAGGGGTGGGGTTGGGCGCCACGCCTCCTTTTTAACATCGTAGATTTTCGTACGACTGAACTCGTACGAATTAGCCACTAAACTGACAAAACATAAAATACTTAGGTTTCCCCACGATATCAGGCTGGTTGTTTTTAAAGCATTTTTTGCAAGAGTTAGAAATATTTTCATAGTAATACTGCATTTCAGTAAGCAAAATATAAAACAGGTTTTTGGTTTGTAAATTGACATTTATGTATATAAAACTTTAGCATTACTCGCCTGTTTCCATTTGAGTATATTGGTCCCTCCATATATACATGTTCCCTCTTGTTACTCTTTGTCGGATTATTGTGTTAATCTATACTGATGTACCAACTCGCGCTCTCTCGAAAATTTCTAAGTTCTACCCAGTCTAGTCAAGTCAGTCCGGTTTCCTTGATTTACAACTTCTTGCTTTTGCTTACCTGTGATCTGTGCAGTCTCCACGCCGCTGAATCCCAGCTTCTCACCTGCGCACGCCAGCTACAGCACTCGCTCCGCTCTGAGGGAGCCGAGTCGGTTTACCAGTTTCCTCCTCCAGTCTGCATTCTCCCACGGGTGTTGGTGGATCGGCAGCTGCCTTATTTAATCTGTTTTGATAAATAAACTCCTGATTTTGAACTGATCTCTCTCTGCTTTTCTGTCCGAGCCTGACAGTTTTATAATTAACAAAACCAAGCAAAACATTTTCCCATAGTAAGGAGAGGTCTTTATCACCATTCTCAATTACAAAGAGGGAAAAAGTCTTTCTAAAATAAGTGAATGAGGAACTCTGGGTGTTGCTTACAAAATTAAACATTACTATTGGTATCTTTTTTTTTTTATCTTACTAAGAGAGTATTGACTGGATATGTATGATGAACAATTCTAAATGAAACTTCTTTTATCTTATTTGTAATTAAGAAGCTATTTGAGGTGAGCCATATTTTACTTCAATCAATATCTGAAACAAAATAATTCCAATAAAAATAACATGTGTTTTGTTTGTTGTCTGTTGGACTCATGTGACTTGTGTACTGCCTAATCTTGGCCAGGACACTCTTGTAATTTTAATCTCAATGTGTCTTTCCTGGTAAAATAAAGGTTATAATAATAATAGTTTATTCTATTTACTGTGTCTGAATGTGCAATTTCAGCTTGTTTTAAAGAAATGTAAAACTATATAAAAACTAATATAATTAATGTAGTATAATCTGTGTAATCTCTGACAGGCTGATAAAGAGACAAACATCAGGAGTTAAAGAAAACATGGATTGAAGACTGAAGAAGAAACTGAAGATCAACATGTCTGGCAGAGAAAGCAGAGGTCAGAGTTTATCAATCTACATCTACTAAATTACATTTCATTCATTCATTTCGGCTTAGTCCCTTTATTAATGCAGGGTCGCCCCAGCGGAATGAACCGCTAACTTATCCAGCACATTTTTTATGCAGGGGATGCCCTTTCAGCTGCAACCCATCTCTGGGAAAAATATATTCACACTCATACACTATGGACAGTTCAGCTTACCCAATTAACCTGTACATGTGTTTGGACTGTGGGGGAAACCGGAGCACCTAGAGGAAACCCACGCGAACTCAGGGAGAACATGCAAACTCCACACAGAAACACCAACTGAGCCAAGGCTCGAACCAGCAACCTTCTTGCTGTGAGGCGACAGCATTACCTACTCGCCTTAATTATATTCCCTAAAATTAAAAACTAACCACCACAGCTTGTGTAAACCAAAAGAACAGCTACCGAAGATGATGATGTGGGTTTTTAAACAATGATTATTTTACACACCATTAAACAGCTTCTGAGCGCACAAATATAAGTGTGATGTATTATGTACTGTAGTACTCTGATGTTGATCCTTCCTGACATGTTCTCAATTTAATGTCTTATAGCCGTTGATCGTGATTCTGCTCACAATAGATGTCACAGCAAACAGAGAGATCCTCCAAGCAGTAAGTCTTTATATAGTTAACACTGAAAAACAACATGTCATGATTATATTATTGGTCCCTCAAAAACAAGATTGTGTGAAGATGATGCATTGAAACCATATTCAGTGTTTTGTGGTAGCACGTTAAAGATAACATGAGTGATGTAATCAGATTACTTTTCCCAAAGTAATTAGTAAACGGATGCATTCCTTTTTAATTTGTAATAAAATATTGGGGTTATTCCTTAAAAAAAGGGTAATGCCAGTTACTTTAATGTCAGTAATTAAATGAGAACTAGTGCTGAGGGTAAGTGCAGATGTGCTTGTTGCGTGTGATGAAAAACACAATATTAACTGTTAATTTTTCTGTAATCTCATTTTCACAAAAACAGATTTAATATCCCAAATATTTTAAACAAATAATAACTGAAAATAGAGCCCTTAGTTTGCGTTTCTCAGAGTCTCATCTCTCATTCCCTTTCAGAGTGAGTTGCATCGTGCCATAGCGCATTTGCTATTTACATGGTGACTTTGGAAGTGTAAAAAGGGAACGCTTCACTAGAGAGAAAATAGTTAAACAGAGCATCTGCAGCGCGAGAATGAGAGATGAGTCTCCTAATTATTTACTTTCACTTTCACTCTTGTGGATAGGGAAACATGTTGTACACAGATAACCATTAGCCCATACATAATTAATTTTGTTTATTAAGCGCAAAGATTTATTTCAAATCTATTGTAATTGTAGATTTTAATGGATTACTTTTAAAGTATCTTTCCCCAAGATTTGAGATATTTGAGTTGTCATAAAATGTGTGTTGTGTGTTTCAGTGAGCGCTGCAGCTTCTCTGAGGATTGTTCTTCTGGGTAATCCTGGTGCTGGTAAAAGTTCATCTGGAAACACAATCCTGGGACAGAAAGCGTTCTTAAGTCAGATTTGTACTAGTTCAGTTACTAGAGGATGTTCAGAAGCTCAGGCCACAGTTTCAGGCAGATCTGTGTCTGTAGTCGACACTCCTGCAATATGTTACACTCACACAAGCCCTGATGAGTTATTGAGAAGTGTGTGTTTATCCAGTCCTGGACCTCACGCTTTCCTCATTGTGTTTCCTGTGAACATGAGATTCACTGAACAGGATGAGCGGATTCCTCAGATGATTGAGCTGATGTTTGGTGAGGGAGTGTTGAATTACTGCATCATTCTCTTCACTCATGGAGATCTGCTGAAAGGAAAAAACATAGAGAAGCTGATAGAGGAGAACTGTAGATTAAGATCTGTAGTCCAGCAGTGTGGAGGCAGATATCATGTGTTCAACAACAGAGATGTGAATAACAGAGAGCAGGTGGAGGATCTACTGCAGAAGATTGAATCAATGATACAGCAGAATGGAGGAGGACACTACACTAATGAGATGCACGAAGACACCCAGAAAGTCAGAGAGGAGGAAAAACTACAAGAGGAGAAACCGAGGCAGACCTGTGTGTGCAGTTGATCCTCCTGGATTGTTTGACATAATGTGGAATTGTATAACAGAGAGTAGGTGAATGATCTACTGTAGAAGACTGAATCTGAAGCTACAGCAAAGTATTTTACCCTATGATTCTAAAATTAAAATAAAGTATGAAATTTAAAACAAAACTTAAAAAACACTAAAGTTATAGATAGATCAACTCAAATGTAGCCTCATATTATCATCTTACATCTGTTCTTTTCTTAACAAAGTTAATGACCTACAAATCACCTTTAAGCTCAAGAGTTTCCATGAAAAAGAGAAAGGAAAAAATGCACAGATAAACATACCTGAATGAGAAGATAAAATGGAGAAGACAAGTAATCTGGACTCTAGATTGTAATTATTATCCTGTATTGTGTAAACGTTTGCAATATTTCACTGTCCATCATCTTGATGGTTCAGTTGATTTGTGTATGCTGTTATAGTTGTCGTTTGTTGTAATGAGTAACATATTAAATAACTAACTCAAATCAATATTTTATGCATTCATTTATTTTGGGGTAAGTAGATTGAAATAAATGCAACATGCAATGTTGTGCAGGTTATTCTCTATATTACAGTTTTTTTGGATTGCTTAAGCACAACTTTCAAAAAAGGGCCCGTGTTTTCAAAACAGTACACACAAGTACCACATCCACACACCCAATTAGCAAAACACTACAAATGTTTTGCATAATTAAACACTCTTGTAAAAACTATACCTTTATGTTCAAAAACCACACTTTTTTACCATAAGAAACAGACGTTTCACATTTACTCTACTCTGTTTGCACGAGTTATACTCTGCTGTGATAAACCTAAAACACTTTTACCACTACTACTTCCCTATGATTAAAGTAGGCCACCATCAACAAAGTACAAATATAAAGTAAATCCACCAAACACTACACAAGACCCATGCTGTGTAATGGAGGCCAGCTAGTGTGTGCTGTGCAGGTAAACCTCACTCCTCTGACCTCTAAGAGGTGCTCTAGCGACAGATGCTAGAGGCCATGGTCTTTAACCTCCTTGGTAGAGCACTCGACTCCCATGCGGAAGGTCGCCGGTTCGATACCAGCTCGGAGCAGGATGGGTGGTGTAGGACCGGCGGCGTTACAGCTGCACACTAAAGAAATTCATTTATTTACATGCCCAAAATGTTCACATGGAGATTCATAGTACTGTAACAGGATCATATCCCTTTTACGTATTGTACTGTAAGTTGGACATTGTGTCTTCACCTAGCTGGATCTGGCCAGAGAATTTCATCAACATCGCAATGTTGTCATTAGCAAGACACCTTGAAAAGAAATGTCTTAAATGACAAATCCATCCTTGTATTGCTGCTACCTCCATCTGGTCACAGGCCTCCTCCATGGCTTGGATGAGGGGTACCTCAGCCTGAAGACGGAGATCTTATACCTTCCACCACCATGCCAAGAAGAACTCTTTTATAGCGTTGAGGAATGGAGAGTATGCTGGAAGATATATTATGGTAAAATGTAGATGTTGCTGAAACCAGTTCTGAACCAGAGCAGAGTGGTGGAAGGACAAATTGTCCCAGACAACAATGCACTGCGTATGATCAGTTTGAGTGCTGTGTTGTAAGGCCCCATATGGGCATGGTGATGGAGGACCCCATTCTGTGTAATGGCTGCACAGAGTGTTATATTTCCCCCATGTTGCCCTGTGTAACGTTCCCTTGCAGAACGTATTTTGGATAAGTGTGTGCGTTCGTTTGTATGTGGGTGTGTCGTTTCATGCATGTGTTACAGGTACGAACGGCATTGGAGGATCCGCATTTCGTGCTGATGACGTTGGCCGCTGACGCTGGGTTTGCGCCACCAATCGCTGGTTGGCGTAGCGTTTAAAAGCCGAGCCCAAACTGCAATGGCGATCTCTCGATCTCTCTCTGTCTCTTTCCTTCTCGCAACTTCTCGCTCTTATTCTTTCTGTGGGTCTCTGTGAGGACAGTCTCTCTTGCGAGGGCTAGTCTGAGAGAATGTGTTTTGCTTGTTTAATGCTCTTGTCTAAAGTTTGCGATTTAACCATGTTTGTGAAATTGTCCAGTTAACTGACATGTTTGAGTGATGCCTCGGAGAGGTGTAGGAGTGAGTAAGTCGCGCGATATACATATACAACACTCAGAGTGATATTTTGTATTAGTTCATTAGGTTCAGGAGAATGTGCTGTTTTCTGTATGTTTTGTTTTTAGTTAGAGCAGTTTAGTTAAGACGTTTGGTACGTTGAAGATGTTTCTTTTCATGCTTTTCTTTTCATATTTAGTTTAGTTTGGTGAAAACAGTTACTGAGTTTTGTTATATTTATTTCTTTGATTTAAGCACATTCAACTACTTCCTCTCCCCTCAGGTAATTCATTATTTAATCATTGTAAATATTTTTCTTTCACTGTATATATTTTCACTGGTTTTCATTGGATATATGGGCAATAAATAATTGCAGTGATTATTTGATTCAGTTTATTTCTTTCTCCATCCGCTTGTCACACACATTAAACTAATGTATGTTATTGTCATCTACTCCTAGTTTAATATTAACATCTAAAAGGACGTAACATATAATTGGGGGCTCGTCCAGGATCTATTTAAATTATTTAAAATCTTAATTTAGTCCCGGATAATAGTTTTGTGTGTGTGTACTCGGATGGTGTAGAGAAAAAAAGGAGAAAAACTGTGACAGTGAAATAGTATCATTTTCTCTCTTTGCAATTTTGGTCTTTTGTAAGTATTTGTGAGAATTTAGACAATGAGTACTTTTGATTTAGAAACATTTGTTGCTAATCCGACATTGGAAGTTTTTGAGCGATGTAGGAAAGACGATTTGTTGCAGATAGGTGAGCACTATCGCATTCCTGTTGTGAGGCAGTCTTTAAAGCGCCTTATTAAAGACGAGGTTTTAAAGCACTTGATTAAACACAAAATTTTAAATTTACCTGATGCGGATGGCGATAAGGCTGGTGCAGAGGCTGTAGAACACAGTCTTGATAATTTAGTGGATGCGGAGAAGGAGACGGGTGAGTATGCCGAGGTGGAGACCGAGGCAAAGACTGGCTTGCCGCCCTTCCATCCATTTTCCCCGACTTCAATTGAGTCTGGGGGTGATGCGAGGCTAAAGGTCCGCCTGGCTCGCATGCAGATTGAAGCTCAAGAGCGAGCTGAGACGCGCCATGCCGAGATGAAGCTGCGCCTGGATATCCGTAAATTGGAAATCGACGCGGAGACACAGGTAAAACTTAGACAGCTCGAGTTAGACTCGATGAAGGTTGGTTCTGGCCGATCTGTACAGTTAAATCCTGTAAGTCCTGCTGCTAATGATAATTCGGCAAGTTTTTTGAGTGATGTTTCGTCTAGTGCTTTTGATATTAGTAAGCATATTGCTTTAGTGCCTCACTTCAGAGAATCCGAAGTGGATTCCTATTTTGCTGTGTTTGAGCGTGTGGCTGCCGCACTTCATTGGCCTAAAGAAGTTTGGTGTCTTTTGCTACAGTGTAGATTAGTCGGAAAGGCACAGGAAGTTTGTTCTGCTTTAACTTTGGAGGAGAGTTTGAAATATGATTCAGTTAAGAGCGCTGTTCTCCGCGCATACGAGTTAGTGCCTGAAGCTTATCGACAACGTTTTAGAAACCAAAAGAAAAATGCACAGCAAACATTCGTAGAATTTGCCCGTGACAAGGGAGTTCTTTTTGATAAATGGTTGGCTGCTAACAATGTGAGAGATTTTAATGCGCTGCGAGAATTGATGCTTCTGGAGGATTTTAAAAATTGCCTGCCTGAGAGAATTGTCACATATCTTAATGAACAGAAAGTCACGACTTTGTCACAAGCCGCAACTCTTGCGGATGAGTATGTGTTAACGCACAAGAGCGTGTTTTCTGTACCCCGACCTGACAAGACATTGAGTTCATTCACGGCTCAAAATTCCGCACGTCCAAAAAGTAGTTCACCAAGGAATAAAGAGATTAGAGAGTGTTTTTACTGCCACAAAATCGGACATTTAATTTCCGAATGTTTGGTGCTTAAACGAAAAAATCAGCAAGGGCAAATGAAACCAGCAGCTTTTGTGAAAACTTTGTCTGGACTTGACTCTATTGAAAATGAAATTGACGCTGGCTTTGAGCCATTTTTAATGAAGGGACTGATTTCTGTAAATGGAAATACTGAAGAGCAGAAAGAAATTAAAATCTTGAGGGACACTGGCGCACTTCACTCGTTTTTAATTTCTGATGCACTTCCTTTATCTGATCAGACTTACTGTGGATCCAACATTCTAGTTCAGGGAATTGAGATGGGTGTTTTAACGGTGCCTTTGCATCGAATTCACTTGCAGTGTGATTTGATTTCAGGTTTTGTCAAAGTTGGTGTACGTCCTTCCTTTCCTGTCAAAGGTGTTGCGTTTATTCTCGGAAATTACTTGGCCGGGGATAAAGTTTCATCTTTGCCTGAAGTGGTTGATAAACCTGATTGTTTTATCCCTGCTGATGACATTTCTAACACGTTTCCAGACGTATTTTTAGCGAATGTAGTCACTCGTGCCCAAAAACGCAGAATCGGAGAAGAAATAATATTATCTGACTCATTTTTGCCACCTTTGTTTACTGAGAATCCTGTTTCGGTCGATTTTAAAAGTTTTAAAGGTGCTGAGAAAGAAACGCGCTCCGACAATACTCCGCCCACAGATGCGTCCGAATGTGATCTTTTAACTGAACCTATTTCGCACGAACGAATTAAAAATGCACAACGAGATGATGAGTCCTTAACGAAATGTTTTTCTGCTGCTGACAAGGATTTTAAACAAACGAAAAATAACCTGAGTGTATACGTGATTGAGAATGGATTATTGTTGCGTAAATGGCGTCCTAGCCGAGATGTAGAGAACGAATGGGAGGTTGTTTGTCAGATTGTTCTGCCTACAATTTATCGAGAACAAGTGCTAAATTTGGCCCACGATCACCCTTTATCTGGTCATTTAGGTGTGACAAAAACTTACAAGCGCATTCTTAAACATTTCTTCTGGCCTGGCTTAAAGAAGGATGTTGTTTCTCACTGTCGCACTTGTCATGTTTGTCAGGTCACTGGCAAACCAAATCAAAAGATTCCACCAGCACCACTTGTTCCGATCCCTATTGTTGGCGAACCATTTGAGCACGTCATTTTGGATTGCGTTGGTCCTCTTCCAAAGACGAAAGCAGGTAATCAGTTTTTATTAACTATTATGTGCTCTGCAACCCGCTTTCCCGAAGCCATCCCGCTTAGGAAAATCACTGCACCTGTTGTGATCAAAGTGATGATCAAATTTTTTTCTACTTTTGGGTTACCAAAAATCGTACAAACAGATCAAGGTACGAATTTTCTGTCAAAAGTGTTCACGCAAGTTTTAACCTCATTAGGCATAAAGCACCGAACATCTAGCGCGTATCATCCTGAAAGTCAGGGAGCTATC